CCCTCTTCCCCCCGTACGTGCATACGTGTAGGTGTGGGCTTGAGTGTTAGTGAGTGAGGGCAAGTATGTGCTTGGTTGAGCAGGTAAATCTGTGCGAGGTACTAGGTATGTTCATGTGTTTAATATGCAATGATGTTTGTATATCACTACAAAATGAAATCGATTTCCAATCTTGACATCAAGACAGAAATAGGTCCTGTCAATCCACAAACCTGAATGAATTCCTCTCTCTTGCCCATTTCGCTCTAGGACAGTGTCCCCCTCCTCCACCCCCCCCCCCCCTCTCCCTCCCCTCCCCGCTCTAGAAGAGTGCCTTATCTGTCCGTCTATGTGTCCAACTATCCACAGTGAAACAAATTTACGAGGGCATTACGTTGAAATTCAAAACAATTGCGAGTCGGGCGCCTGCGCCGTTCGGTGAGTGCAGTTTAACGCACCGCACCGCTACCGGCGCTATCGCGCAGGCCGAGGTCACGAGGGCCTCGCCCACGGGAAATCGCCAGCGCGGTCTCGCCGGCGCCTCCCACTCCCGCCCACCACGCTCATCGCCTCGCCCGCCAAACTTTGAATTTTCGAAGTAGGCGACCGGGCTCGCCATCGCACCAACTCTAGGGTTGTAGCCACCTCCCCATCCACCTCCCCACCCTCAAGCCCCACCTCCAGGCGCCATCACGGAGGAGACGTAGACGCCACCAGACCTCGGAGACCACCGCCAGCGTCACGAAAGTGCCACCAAGTTGCATTGAAGGAGGAGCTGCCGCCAGCCGGAGGGCTCGACAGCCACAACCTCGGTAGAGGAGCCACCTCCATCACTCCACAGGACGCCACTTGCGACATCGACAAGTGCCACTCAGACGTACCAAGAGAAGGAGGCAATCAGGAGGGACACACGGACTACTCCACAGCCACCCTGCTGCCCCGCTGGCAAGAGTCGGACGGCTCACTACACTGCATGCAAGCCATGCAGAAAGAAACAACGCGATAAGTCTGAACCTCCCACCCCATCCGACCACCAGGTCAATCGAGGTAAACACTCCCTCCCTCCCTCTCTCTCTCTCTCTCTCTCTCTCTCTCTCAGTCCAGTACTAACCTGTGAAGTTGGCGCCTTGATGCAGGTACCTCGAAGATGGATCTGGAGCTATGGTGCCACAGGTAAGTCTCGCTGGCCTCCGCCAGCCATCTCTCCCAACTCTACTATCTGTCTCTTATACACATCTAGATGTGTATAAGAGACCGGTGGAACCAAGTGGACATCATAGTCCTCGTAAGTGTATCGAGGACTTGCGACATTCGCGTTCTCCCCAGATGTGCAGGAGGCCGCTAGCAAGGCTGTCTCTTATACACATCTAGATGTGTATAAGAGACAGGGGACACACGGACTACTCCACAGCCACCCTGCTGCCCCGCTGGCAAGAGTCGGACGGCTCACTACACTGCATGCAAGCCATGCAGAAAGAAATAACGCGATAAG